TAGTTAATGTTGCAGATGCACAATGTACATTAAAGGGACGAAAGTAGTGGCTCAAACAGGCAGAGAGAGAATTTTATGTTTAAAATTTTTCTTGTCCTGCCTTAAAAATAATTGTATTTCCTCTAAGTAAACCATTTCCTTACAGTAATACAACTGCTTTTATTACCCAACTGCACTTGGGTCCGTTAGCCCAACACTCAGCAAAGCCAGTCTACTGACACTAGGTTGTGGTGAAGTGTGGTGTTTATTGCAGATGCCAAGCAAGGAGAATAGGCAGCTTATGCTCAAAAAGACCCAGACTCCCCAATGGCTTTCAGGGAAGAGTTTTTTTTTGTTTTTTTTTTTGCAGTACGCGGGCCTCTCACTGCTGTGACCTCTCCCATTGTGGAGCACAGGCTCTGGACGCGCAGGCTCAGCGGCCACGGCTCACGGGCCCAGCCGCTCCGCGGCATGTGGGATCTTCCCGGACCGGGGCACAAACCCGTGTCCCCTGCATCGGCAGTCGGACTCCCAACCACTGCGCCACCAGGGAAGCCCCAGGGAAGAGTTTTTCAAGGCAACATTTGGGATGAGGGTTGCAGGGGACATGACTTTCTTCTGATTGGTTGTTGGTGGTGGGGTAACAAGGTGGTGTCTTGCGACTCTTGATCATCAACCTTCTGGTTCCAACTAGTCTGGGGTCTATGTGCTTGTGGTCAACATGTAGCCCATCCTCCACCTGGGTGGGGGCGGGGGGGGTCTTAGTTCTTGCAGAACACTTCAAAGATGTGTGTCAGATTGTATATATATCCCTCGAGGAGGAGCTAGTACCCTGTTTTATTGCTGACCTATTGTTTCTTGACTGCTTTTCCTCTGTTTCTGCGTTCCCTCACTTCCGTAATTAATAACTGCTTGAGTCTGCTTTTTGGAATGCAGGGAAGACCTAGGGGACCAAAAACCTTTTTCTACAAAAAAAAGAAATGGATACGGAGGGGCTTTTTTACCCAGGAGGGCCCCACAGGGTCCTGCTTGGTTTCAATCCCCCTTTTCTTTGATCCTCCTCAATCCTAAGGGGAACAGGGCAGGACAAGAAAGAGAATAAAGTTTTGGATAGAGAGGTTAATCAACTCAGCAGGGGAACTCGGTTTTAAGGGGACTCGATTTCACTTTAAAGGGGGTATACGTGGTTAGAGCATGGACTCTAGAGCTGGACCCCCTAGATGCATGTCCTGCCCCTAATCTCATCCTGGCTGTGTGCCTTATCAAGTTGCCCTCTCTGAGCTTATTTTTTCACAAATAACACCAACTTTGATTTGAGAAGGTTGCTTTGAAGATTATATGAGTTAACGCTCAGAAGATGCTTACCAGTACCCTGGCATGTAATCAACAATCAGTAAATATTTGCTCTTGCAATTATACGCAAAATACTCTTAGTGTCAGGAACAATGGGGAAGCCTTCACCCAGGAGGTGGCATTTGAGCTGAGACTTCAAGGCTGAGTAAAAATTTGCCAGGCAGCAGTGGAAGGTAGTCAAAATCACCAAGGAATGATAAAGTGTTCAAATCGTTGAGAAAAATCCTGAGATAATTCAGGAATACTGGAGACTAAAAGTGCAGCGACAACAAAAATAAGCCAATAAATGGAAAGATTATACCAAGTTCATGGGTAGGAAGACTAAACACTGTAAAGATATGCATTCCTCTCAAATTAATCTATAAATTCATTTCAATTCCAGTGAAAATCCCAACAGAATTTTTATTTGACAAGCTAAATCTAAAGTTCAAACTTTTGCAAGGAACCAAGAATAGATAAGACACTTCTGAGGAGGGGGGGAAGTTAGTGTTATCAGAATAAGAGTGATAGTAACTGATGTAACCATTAGCTATTGGCATGAAGATAGAAAAATAGATGAGTAGCCTAAAATCAAGAGCCTAGAAGTAGACCCAGGCTTAGATGGAAACTTTGCTATGCAAGAAAGATTACATGGACTAACCAGTGCCTACTGGCAGCTGCTAAACTAATTAGTTTTTAGCAGTAGAGGCATTTTTCTTTCTCTAAATATGTTAAACACATAACAAAAGTTGATCATAATACGTAACAAATTAATAAAATTATTTCTGATTTTTTAATCCACGAGTCATTCAGTTATTCCCAATTCTCATCAATTGAAATGGGAATTCAGTTGATACATGCAAATTTATTTACCAGAAAATACTGACAAAGTACTGATGAGGACATCTAGCAACCGCGTCTCTCATTCATTGCTGGTGGGAATATAAAATAGTGCAAACACTCTGAAGAGTAGTTTGGCAGTTTCTTATAGAGTTAAACATACATTTACCATAAAACCCAGCATCACACACCTGGGTATTTATGCTAGAGAAATGAAAACTCATGTTCACACAAAAACCTATATGTGAACGTTCAGAGGAATTTTATTTACAATAGCCCCAAGCTAGAAACCATCCACGTGCCCTTCGGCGGGTGAGTGGTAAAGAGGCTGCACTTTATCCACGCAGTTGGAACACTACTCAGCAGTATAAACCAAGAGAAAAGAAAGAAAGAAAAAGAACATACTTGGATGGATCTTAAGGGCATTATGCGGAGAGTAAAAAGCCAATCACAAAATGTTACGTACGGCGTTCCATTTATATAACATTCTGCAAGTGAAAAAAACTAGAGGGAGGTGGAACAGACCAGTAGATGCCAGGGGTCAGGGTTGGGGGAGAATGTGACTATAAAAAGGTGACTGAGCAGTTTTATATCCTAACTGTAGTGATGGATATACTAATCTATCCACGTGATAACGTTTCATAGAACTACACACACACACACACACACACACACCACACACACACACACACACACACACACTGCATGTAAAAATCATTAAAACCAAATAA